AACTTTACCTGCATGGGCTTTATGATTTGAAGAACACTATTGAGGAAATGAGAATCATTTATGAACACAATAGTACAAAGTAGGTCCATTAGTAATTCGAAATGTTCAAAATTATTCATTCAGAATAGTTAAATGGAAAACATCGATTGAAAAGCAATATGATTCTTGGCTTGAATGGTGGGAAGCCTACTTGTACTAAGTCATGAATGTGTTGTTGTTATGTACGATTTAATTGAAACTAGACAGATCAAGTTGGGCACAATTCTAAAGGGCAATAACAACAGTTATTTCGTGCTTGATGTTTCTTTTAAACTGTTGAAGATTCTAGATTATTTTACGAGTATTGTGAATAATTTGAGTATATATATTGATTTGGGATGAAAAGATGGTTTATGTGAAGGGGAACTACCTATAGATCGAGTTAGAGATAACAAAAAAATTCGACTAACTTGATACTTGCGGGGCCTAGTTCGGCCCGAACGGGGCGGAGATAACCTGCTTAATCGGGTATTCAGGACGGAGAGGGTGCCCCGCTTCGTTTAATTTTTTTTTTTGGAATTCAATACTTTAAATGAAAAATTTCACGAAATTTCATTAGTTCTAATAAAAAATGACAGCCAAAATTATTTGTCTAAATCTAATGAATGAGGACAATAAAAATAAATTATCAAAAACTAAAAAATAAATAAATAATAAAACATGGTAGTAAACTGGGTAAAAACCCCGTCCTGTCTCGTCTTAAACGAGAGGGGAGGTGGGCCAATGCTCTTCAACCAACATTCTCAAGTGAGATATATGATGGTAAAATTTTGAGTGCAGAGTGAAATCGGTCTAACATTTTGTTAAGAATTGGTTGGACAAAAAATGATTAAAAATCATATAGATTGAAGTAAAAGGAACACGAGAGTTTTGAATTTGAACCATATCGCTCATATAGTAATAGGAATCTGCAACTATAGAAGGGGCCACCAAAAGTCCGAATCCTTTTAGAATTCTTCTGTTGAACAGTATAATCCTAAATGCTACTACTTTAGAGTGGATTCGGATTCGGAATTGGATTGGGATTTGCTATTGGTCACAAATTATCAAATTAATAGGCCATGAATTATTTTTGGTCACAAATGAAATATTTTATAGGTCACAAGTTATTTCACGATCACATATTATCAAATTAATTGGTCATAATTTTTCCTCAATTACAAATTATTAAATTAATTGATCACAACTTAACAAATTGTGAATTACTATTATAAATTTAATTGGAATTTCACATTTTTTATGACACATATTATTTATTGATCACAAATTATATATTTCATTGGTCTCATATAATTTATTCATCACAATCAATCAAATAATTAAACAAACACTCTTCATCTCACCTCACCACCAACACCACTAGCACCACAACAACCTCAACAACAATGTCATTGCAACCTCACCACTACACCTAGGAGCACCACCACTTGCAAACACTACCAACAAACCCCATCGCAAAATCACTACACAACCACCAATCAGAGTCGCGACGACAGCAATGATGTGACCACTGCAAATCAAATCCAAAATCAAGCTAAGCATCAAATTAGATCAGATCAGATCCAAATTCATCCTAAAAGTTATCTTCAAACTATCACATATACCACAGCCAGCATACAGAATAATCAAAACTCAAATACCGAACTGGAAGAAGAACAAAGTGCATTGTCGCCGGTGAGTGTCGTCGCATCGTCGCCTTTGCTCAGCGACGGCGACAACTCGACAACTTTAACACGGCTCAGTGCGTAGGACACTGCACGGCGAGCACAACATCACACATAATGGAACTATTATCGCTCGATGTACGTGTCACTATTTATCGCTGATGCTGCTGGTGGTTAGAGAGAAGAGAGATGAAAATGATTTAAGGTTAGGATTTGGGATTGGGTTGAATGGGCGGGGTGGTTGTGCAGATTAATTTATTTTTATAATATTATTAT